CAGGTTGTAGTATTCACATAAAATTGTCATGAATAATATTGTAGTTTTGTACATTAACCTGTTTCTGTTATAGTTTCTACTTTATGATACTGGTTCTTCACACTTAAGAAAAGATAAGAGACTCTTAAAATGAACTTCATTGCATTTGCCTCCTTGATATTAACTAATGCTGTCAAAATTACTGTATTTTAAATTATCCCCCAGAATATGGTGAGATTTTTTCCTTACCTTGTTATAGTTTTTAAAAGATAAAGAACATTTTAAAAGAAAGATGGAAAAAGGAAGAAAGGAGGAAAAAAGACAAAACAAAAATGGAAAGAAAGAAAGAAAGAAAGAAAGAAAGAAAGAAAGAAAGAAAGAAAGAAAGGAAGGAAGGAGAGGGATACATTAAAGGAGGTACAGTGAACAACATATTGCTCTGAAGGGTAGCTGTGCCTCCCATCCAAAATGTCTTATGAGTTTAGTGTGCAGATGCAGGGGGAAAATGCTTATTTCTCTGCTCCTTTCAGAAGCTGTTTAATTGTTTCCACTTCTTTATAAGCTCCTAGCTTTCAAAAAAGATAATGTGTGCTTGCCCCTAGCCAACCCAATCTAACTTGTCCTGTTTCCAGAGCGAACTTGTGTTGAAGGTGACATTTTCAGTCTAGAGGTCATGCCCATGTGCCACATCCTACTGTCTGCAGTTTCATGCTATATTACACACAAGGAAATCTGGCTTTTTAGACTCCTTTCCGGACTCCCACCCCCACCCTCTGCCAGCTTCAGCTCCTGACAGCCTTTCTCCTCCCTTCCCCAATTTGTACAAATAATGAGAATGCTTCATAATCTACACTCAAATATTAAATCTGCAAGAATCATAATCACCATGTCTGGGGCACTTTCAGAATGAGTCTGGATGCTGACTACCCAGCTGGAGCCATGCTAGCACGCTTCTACAAGAGCGAGACCTGAACCACATTAATCTGCTTAATTTCTTTTGTGAATCCTTCCTTGCTTGAAAACAAGAGGCTTGAGCCTCTGCAAAGACACTCAGAAACTTGCATCCTTTAAATTTTTTTTAGGAAGAAAAGCTACCTGAAACTCCGAACCAATAAATAGATGAAAGTATAAGTAAATCAAGCAAATCTTTCTTTTCCAAATGAATTGTATTGCCCTTATTGAAAAGAATAAAGGGATGTGAAAAATGTGGGGTGGGAAACTGGAGTGTGAAACAACTCAACAGGGAATGAAGATGCTTGTATGATCCAAGAACTGAAACTTCTACAGTCTTGTGGGAGAAAGGTAGTAGATTTGCTACAATTACATTTCCTCCACTTCAAAGCCCAGTTCCTATCTAGGGCGACTTTTAGCTGCCCCAGCCCGATAGGTTCGATAGCTTTTGTCATATAATTCAAGCCATTAGCTCTAGAAGGGATAGGGGACCTGGAGTGTACTTGAAGATCTGGATGAGGAGCACACCAAGATATGTCTTTGGCCCAGATGCCAGAGAGATCAAGCTTAGTAGGGGTGACTTGGAGTTTAAGGCAAATTGCAGTCTATGAAAAATAAGTTACCAGCTCTTTGCAACAGTAGCTTTGCTTGGACTTATTTTTCTCCCATGTCCAGACAGGGTCGTCTATTGAATGAAGCTCTTTTATTTTGCATGGGGCAGGGGATTTGTGACCATGGTCCCCCCTTTTATTCCTCTCTCTATGGAAACCCAGATCATGGGGAGAAATATGCAAGGCTGAATAAAGAGAAGCCACAGAAAGGAGCGCTTGAGAGCGGCATCTGTTACACTTGGGAAGTTAGACTGACAGGAGAGGGCGAAGGAAACCTCTCTAGTAGATTAGTTAGAAGAGCAAGAAGATTTCACTACATGTAGATATTTTCTTCGGAAAGCAAAATATATCATATACAAGGGAGGACTTTTTACATCTGCTATAGGGAGTGATTGCACCTAATGAGATAGACATTATCTATACTCACAAAAAAACAATTTTTAAATGAGAGGAGGAAGAGGCGGAGAGGAGAAAAGATTCAAGAGTTGAAGAGAGGGAAAGGAAGGGAGAAGGAAAGGGAATGATAAGGATTTCTGCTCCTAATAAAAATCTATTTTGAAATTAAAGGCTAGAAAACAGGGCTATGAAAAGCCTGTTCCTGGGTGTAGATGTATCCTTTTTACTACCCTCCCCCCTACCTCCTGACTTGGGATTAATGATCTGAGCTACTTTTGCTTTACTAGCAAAACCTCGGTTACCAAACCAAAGCAAGGGCAAGACTAAGAGTGATGTGGACTCCAAACATTCTTTCTAGTCAGAACAAGAAAAGGACGCTTTTTTTACAAAAAAAAAAAAAAGAAGAAGAAGAAGAAAAAAAAGCTTTATCGGACAATAATTCTCTTCACCTCCTTAACAGACAGACTGAGAGAAGCAATACTTTCACCCAAATGCAGCTGCTAGGTGGGGGTGTTGAACATACCAACAACCTGGCTATAAACATGATCGGAGTTTTACACATAGGGTTTCTTCAACAGATTTCCTCTGACCTTTCAGCTGACCCAACAAATACTAGCAAACGATCACCAAACAGGCAGTCTAATCGAGCACCGAAAACTTCTTTTTGTTTGATTTTAATGAGTTCTTATTTCTTGAGAAGCATAAGTTCAGGCACAAATTGGATTGCATTCTTGTAAAAGATAATGCATACATTCAGCAGTGAAAAACAGCCTACCTCATTCCTCCACAGAAAAGAGAAGACATATAGAAACAGACACACAGAGATGGAGAGTGCCTGCGCACAAGAGTGTAAGAGGGAGGGAGGGAAGGACAGAGGGTGGGAGGGAGGGAGGAATGGAAGGAGGGAGGGAGACAGGGAGAGGCAGAGGGAATGAATCGATTTCTAGGTTAAAAGCAGATAAGCCCTTACAATAGGGCATCAGCAAATGAACCTACAATTTCAATGAAAAAGCAGGGTGAAGCAGGGAGGATGGCGAAAGATCCTCTCTGCCAATAATTACTGTGTTTATCTTTAAGAGCAAAAGAAAGATTTCAAACAGATGCCAGGTTTTCTCACCTAACAAATGCGCATTTACATTTACCAATCTCTGCTGCTATTACTTTGTGCTGTCATAAAAATAATCACCAATTTCACAGGAAATAGACACTCTTCCGCTATATAAAGGAATGACAGAATAAGCTCACCTTGCTTTTAATTTTTTTTTCTCATTTTCTTGCATTTTCTTCAGATCTGTCTTCTTAGAGAAACTAATGCCTTAATGACTTTCTGGTAGCTGCAAGCCTTCTTTTATTTCAGCTAAATATATGAAAATGTATGCAAATTTAAATCAAGCTTAACCTAGGAAGCTCTTGCAATATATTTAATGGAATTTCAAACCAATAAGGGAACTCTGATGCCGTCTTCTGTTAGAGCAAATATAATTACACAGCTAGGTTGCCTCCAAAATTACCGAACGAAAGGTCATTAAAAAAAAAAAAAAACTTCACATTTGGTGTTGAGTGTTGTGTATTTATTGTCTTTTCTGAGCTAGTGTAATTGTAACATCTTTGCATTTCCACCAACTCTGCTTCCAAGCAACACCTTTGCGTGGGGCTGTGGAGCACATGGACTTGCTCTTCTCTAACTTGGAAAAGCCTAGGAGGGTCTGTCTTTCCTTTAAACAAAATTTGAAAGCGGTCGGGTCCCCCGGGCTGAAAGCTAATTCAAGCTTTGTGGCAGCTGTGGAGAAATGGAAAAACTGTGCAAGATGCCTAGCTACCAAGATCTCTCTCCCAGTTTCTCTCGGGTTCTCTCCCTCTTTCCCACTACCCTTTTTTCTCTCCCCGCCCTTCCTGTCTTCTCTTTCCTTGTCTCTCTGAGTCTCTACATTTTGAAAGAACAGTAGAGGAAGCACATTTCTCAGTATTTCTATCACTCTGCTAAGGAAGCAGGCTGTAAAGGTTTCAAAGAGTTTTTTTTTTTTTTTTTTTTTTTTTTTTTTTTTCCGGGGACAACACTGGGCTTGCTTGGTGTTCTGAGTGCTTTCCAGTCTGCCTTAATGATTGGGAACGGGGACTATGTTTGCTGCGTGTGTGTCTAGGGTGAGTGTGGAAGATGACTGCCTGCTTCAACAAGCAGCTTTTCTGACATAAGCTGAGAGACCTCTGATGGGAACTGACAGGGGAGCAAAGATAAAGTCAGATTTCCAATTAACCAGCAAACTTCAAACTGACTGAGTCTTCCAAGGAGCACTTTAAGATTTACATTCGCAAACCCTCAACTCTTCATGCCCTGAATCAAAAACTTAAGAAAAAAAAAAAAAAGCAGAAATCTTTTTCCTAGAGCTTTTTTGTTTCTTGTAAATGTAACAGGAGCAAAATAAATTAGAATAGCTTTTATTAGATAATGATTTTTCATTTTGGGCTCTGACCTAAAACATTGCATTGCTCAAAGTTTGTAGATGCGTTTTATTTTGCAGTCCCCACCACACAGTAACCCAAAGTGCTAACTAACTAAATCTGAAAATTTTAATGCAGTAAGATCAAAATGACATTTTAATTTCTCTTTCTTCCTTCCTTTTTCTTTCTTTCTTTTCTTTTTTTATTTCAGTAAGCTAAAGGGAGATCTGAAACCAAAGGTAGCCTCCTCACTTCCACTCTACACAAATATAGCCTTTCTCCGTCACAAACAAACACTTGGTCTCCAGGAGTGGGGAAAGGGTTAACTAAAAGAGCCGCTGCCACTCTGAGCTAGGCAGCCAATGGAGCCTAAAGATTGATTCACTTCCTGCTTGGGTCTCACTGAAACTCCGGAGCTTCGCCAGCCTAATTTGGAAAGCGAGCTCGGCCTCCCGCACCATCATTGGCTGAGTTTATGCCTGGCCAGGCCAAGTCGAGCTGCGATTGGCCTTGGCGGATGCCGGTAACCCGCGCTAGCGGCTTTGGTTCCCCCGCACCATAGATGTCAAAGGCTGAAGCTGCTCCCTTTGCCACATTATAACTAGTAGAGGATCCTCATCGACCATGGCCACAGCTGCCTCGAATCCCTACAGCATTCTCAGTTCCAGCTCCCTCGTCCATGCGGACTCTGCCGGCATGCAGCAGGGAAGTCCTTTCCGCAATCCTCAGAAACTTCTCCAAAGTGACTACTTGCAGGGAGTTCCCAGCAATGGGCATCCCCTCGGGCATCACTGGGTGACCAGTCTGAGCGACGGGGGCCCGTGGTCCTCTACATTGGCCACCAACCCCCTGGACCAGCCGGACGTGAAGCCGGGACGCGAAGATCTGCAACTGGGAGCAATCATCCATCACCGCTCGCCGCATGTAGCCCACCACTCGCCCCATACTAACCATCCGAATGCCTGGGGAGCGAGCCCAGCTCCAAACTCGTCCATCCCGTCTAGCGGTCAACCCCTCAACGTGTACTCGCAGCCGGGATTCACGGTGAGCGGTATGCTGGAGCACGGGGGACTCACTCCACCACCAGCTGCTGCCTCCACACAGAGCCTGCATCCAGTGCTCCGGGAGCCGCCAGACCATGGTGAGCTGGGCTCGCACCACTGCCAAGACCACTCGGATGAGGAGACTCCAACCTCTGATGAGTTGGAACAGTTCGCCAAACAATTCAAACAAAGAAGAATCAAGTTGGGGTTCACGCAAGCCGATGTGGGGCTGGCACTGGGCACCCTGTATGGCAACGTGTTCTCGCAGACCACCATCTGCAGGTTCGAGGCCTTGCAACTGAGCTTCAAGAATATGTGCAAGCTGAAACCCCTGCTCAATAAGTGGCTGGAGGAGGCCGATTCATCCACGGGAAGCCCTACCAGTATTGACAAGATCGCCGCTCAGGGCCGCAAGCGCAAGAAGCGAACCTCCATCGAGGTGAGTGTCAAGGGCGTCCTGGAAACGCATTTCCTCAAGTGTCCCAAGCCTGCAGCGCAGGAGATCTCCTCGCTGGCAGACAGCCTCCAGTTGGAGAAAGAAGTGGTGCGTGTCTGGTTCTGTAATAGAAGACAAAAAGAAAAAAGAATGACTCCGCCTGGGGATCAGCAGCCACACGAGGTTTATTCGCACGCGGTGAAAACAGACGCGTCCTGCCACGATCTCTGACTGGAGGAAGCCAGAAGGTGGTCCGCAGCACTGGGAGCAGTGCGGTTATCATTCTCACTCCCTTCCTTTCATCACTACATTACAGTCTTTATTATTGCTATCTCTCTAGCTTGCTAGCTCTTTCTTTCTTTCCTCCACAGGGGCTTCTAACTTATGTTAAGAAAGGAAACACACACACACGCGCACACACATGCACGCACGCATTCAGGATTCTCAACTCTGAAACACAATTGTATTAAGCAGTCCAGGTGGGGACCTCATAGTCCCTGCTGCCAGGGCAATTTTCCTCCAACCTTTTCTGCTGATCAATACATATTGTTTACTCTGAGTAAGATTTGTTTGGTTGCTCCTCTCTAAAAAGGGCAAGGAGCTGGGTAACAGGGGTGGGGGCGGGAGAGGGTGGGAAGACAGATGTGTGCCTATGAATAACCTTTCAGCGCCTTGGTTATAGCAGCTGTATTTCAGGTGAAATCTGTTTTACAATAGACTAGTTTTGCATTTTTTAAAACTTCTATAGCGTTTCTAAATGTCTGCGGTGTTTTACTACAAGCTGTACACAATATTTGTGAGATAATTTGTATCTAATCGACCACTTCACATTATTATTGCTAGTATTATTATTTCTTCATTCAGCTGATGGGTTTTTAATTGCTTAAAAAGGGAGGGGGGGCTGAAAGGAGGAAAGAGAAAAATGCTCACCTCTTGCACTCCCACACTTTCGAATCTGCATGGAGAGAAGACACGATGGAGAAAGTTGATGTTTCTATTTTTTCCCCCGGGGACTGAGTGCCTATGTGGGCAGAACAAGCAAACTGAATGGGTTTGCAAAGAAGCCTAAAGTAAGAGAGGCTATTTCGCTGCTTTTTGCCTCCTGTTTTTTGCTACTGTGGAGTCTCTGAAGGCTTCCACAACATAAACCCCAGAAGGATTCAGCAGTGGAGCGCAAAAAATGGGGTTTGAGGAACCAGAAGGATTCTGAATTTACCCAGGTCGTAAATGTCTGTGCCTGAAGTTTCCCACAGGCTGCCAGCATAGTCAGGTTGACAACCTGCGCTACCCACTTACACTCTCCTAGATGAAAGACTTTGCCTTCACAAATGGTGGCTTTCACCTGAGACCAGGACCAAAAGACGCTGGCAATAGATTGGGCCAGCGCCTCCCAGTTCGCCGCCGCTCGCTTTCAGGGTGAGAAACACTCTCAGTAGGGTGATGAGGGGGTGGGCTAACAGACACCCTTTGCTTAGTGCGGAGCGACAATAAAATGATTAGCAAAAGTCACGGAAATTCTGGTCCAGCCGTGTACCACCTTCTCCCTCTTGTATATACCAAGGTCTGAGTGAGCTCTTGGGGAGCCCATCTCAGCTTCTTTGATGAGCACAGCTGGTGGAAGCCCATGGCGAAGATTGAGCGAGCTAGGGAGCGCCTGGGCAGCTGAGTTTATGCTTTTTTTTTTTTCTTAAAAAAAATCAAAAAATATGTGTGTATGTATTTCTGTGCGTGTGTGCGTGCGCGTGCAAATGTGTGTGTGTAGATAGTTGTGTGTAACGTATTATTGCATACAAAAAAAAACTTAAAAAAATTCTCGCTAGACTATGTAGAGATCCCAAAATTAAGCGGTTGCCGTGGCTTTATGGCTAGCTTTCTCTCAAGTCCACAGGACAGGTTCATAAGTGCACCTCATCCTCAACAAGCACTCTGTGCTGGCCCAGTGAAGCGCCCATGCCCAGGCAGTAACTGCGGGCCTGACCTGAAGGGGATCTCAGCACGCCAGGCTGATCTCCGGATTCAGCCAGCAGGCGCAGCTGCGGTAGACAAAGCTTCAAACTACCTAAGAACAAGAAAACCTTCTGCCCCTTATAGAAGATGTGCGCTACTATGGGCTGCCAGGCCTCTGGTTGACCACAGTGTCTCCTCTAGCCGCAGGTTGAAAAACATACATTAATTCAAATTCCGGACTTTTTTTGCTAGTTTTTTTTCTTATTTTTCCCCTTTTTGTTCTTTCTTTCCTTTTCTTTTTTCTTTTCTTTTCTTCTAATTTTTCCACAAGCCTCTGCATTCTCTTACTTTTAGGTTTTAGTTCTTCTATTTTATTTCCCTAGTTCCCATGTTTTACAAATGTTCGAGGGTGGTGGGTTTTTTATTTTTTTTTCTTTGCAGTTAAACGCTATGGTTCAAACCTGAGTTAACCCAAATATTTCTGCCGACTTTATAATTGTACAGTTTTGTATATTAAACGTTTTTGAAGTTATTAATTTAAAAAAGATCATTTAGTTTATTCATTTAGTAACTGATGTATAATAAACGCTATTTTCATTAAGAGTTGCTTTTTCAACTATTTTATTCAAATTGCCTATTGCAGTTGCCAACAGTTATTTATTTTCAATAAATTCTGCATTGTGTTTAAATAGAAATGGTTTCAAAGATGAGTTGGGTGTCAAAAAGAAAACAATTTGCTGTAATGTTTGATGTGAACAGTTTTAGTCAAGGGGTTTATATTGACGCAATATTTTATTGTTGTAAAAGATTTAAAGGTTTAAATAAAACATTTTTCCAAAAAAAATGTATTCTTCTCCTGGCCTTATTGTGTTGTGTGTGAAGTAAAGCATTTAAAGAGGCACATCCTGGGTAAGCAAGGCATTTGCTTTGCTACGGGTTAGAAATCATTAGTTTTTGTTTTGATTCTGGTTTCTATTCCTATGACTTTTGCCCTTTAGGCTCAGAAATATACTCTCACACACAATACCTGTTTGTACACCCACACCTATGGTTCACATAAAATGTATACCTCAATGGTGGAAAGCCAGGTGGGTAAGACTATGTTATAGTGTTCTCCCAGAACACAATGTCTTTGCCAACCAGTGTCTTCTAGTTTGTTCCCCCTGATCCCACCCCACCCCACTGCTGCCCCCGAAATTAGACCGAAACCTTCCCGGGACTTCTATGTTTCTTACACGTTCTCATCCTTCTTCCTTCTCCCCAGTCCTGTCAGTTGTCCTTCTAGTAAGGTATGGGGATATGATTTTATGTAGTGATTGTTTTAAGGCGCTCCCTGGGTCTAAGTAAACTGTTTGCTTCAATCCCTATCAGGCTTGTAAAAGAGAAAAGAAAAGATTATGAGACATTTGGGGAGAATTTTGATTTATTGTAGTCATCTTTCCATTCCCACATATAATTTTACATGTATTACTAATTTCATAAATCCTTCCATAGAATAAGGGATTGCTACATGTAGTGGTAGCTAATGAATAATTTGCCAAATATGATACAACTCTATTTTAAGGTTTTACTCGTACAGGAATTCTTTGTCCAACTTTCTTTTGGTTGATACATTTGAATAAATAAACAAAACACAAATTTCCAGCAATGAAGACACCTTATCCTCATACTCTGAAAGAGAGATTTTTTTCTTAGACAAATCATAATTATTGAATCACTTTAATAGGTAACGATTATCACAAATGATGCCTTGATTTTTACAGATTGCCTGATTATTTGAAGCTGTATAGTAAAACATGCAGATGTGTTTTCTATGAGACACGATACATGTTGCGTGTATATTCACAGACATATCCCCTTTATACATAATGTTGATTGTTTTTAAAAAATGTTTTATGAATGTTTATGTCTGTGTCTCTCTCTGTGTATGCCACATGTGTGTGAGCATTCACAGAGTTCAGAAGATGGTACTCCATTCCCTGGAGTTTAAGGCAGTTGTGAGCACATAACATGGATTCAAGGAGACAACCTGGAGTTCTCTAGAAGAGGAGGAAACTCTCTTCAACACTGAGTCATCTTTCCAGTCCCATGATATTGATTTTATAGAGGTGTACTATAAGCACAAAACTTATAGTAATAAGCGTATTGGTTCTGTTTTGCTTCATACAAATAATCTATTTGTTATAAAACATCTTATAAAAATGAATAGATTACAATGTTCTTTGTTCTTACGAAAGAACTCCACACAACAACTAACTTTGAGCTTATCCTGAATTCTTAGGTGAACTCATATACAGATATTTTAGGAGGCATTTATGTGAGTATACATATATAGAAATCAATACTTTATTAGTATATTAATATGCATTATACATATGTAGCTATCTCAAGCTATCTTCTTTTATTGCCTTTTTCCTTAACAATATCATAACCTAGCAGTCTTTTATAATGACCTTATCAATTTCTGTATAATGAGAATATTGTTTTCATTAAAAATCCAGTGTTGTTAGTGCTGTTGTATAGGGCTTTACTTTCTTAAGGTTGCTTTTTGCCCCTACTCCCCACCAATGTCATTGCAGAAGTAGCTTTTATATTGGCTTTTTCAAGCTTTTACAGTTGTAGCCCTCTTTAAGGAAGAACTGATGGATTTAAAAGGTAACAGTAACAGTTAATCATGTCTGATGCTATGAAGGCAAAAACTTTCAACCCCATCAACATGTCAGAATAATAAAACACCGAAAAATTGTTAGGGGGGTAGGATGAGACTACAGGAAGTATGCAGTTGTTACACATGTATAAATAAATACAAATAAGTTTAAACCTATCTATATATAGGTTGGTTGTCTTTATACTTGTGAATAAGTAGCAAAGACAAATAAACTACTAAATTTCATGAATTATTTCTCTATCAACAAAAAGGAAAAATATTATCCAAGGAAATTAGCTTCTTACCTTTATAAAAAGAACCATATTAAGATAATTATTGCCTAAATTAGTTCATGGGGAGTGTTTGTCTCTAATAAAAGCAAACACTGTTCTCTGAAAATATTTAGCATTCAAAATTTCTCTTGCTTTCTAGTCTATCATTGTTGCTTTAATTGTTTGTAGTGCTACAAACTGAACATATGTTTTTGTTCCTTAAATATCTTTTATATGAAGGAGAGATGAGACTAAGGAGAACAAGAATGTAGAAAATAGCTGGAGGTTGAAAGTAGTTTGCAAAAGAGAAAAGTGTATTTCTCCCACTTCTCAGATCTTTTTAAAGGCACACATGGGACCTCCAA